GCCATCCTGCCCTCCTTGCCTCTATCTTCTTACTAATTGTTCTGAGTTGTTTTTCAGGGATGTAAGTATATAATTTTATTCTTTCTTTCTTTCTTTTTTTTTTTTTTTTTTGCGGTACTGGGGATTGAACTCAAGGCCTTGCACTTGCGAGGCAAGCACCTATTGTACTGAGCTAGCTCCCCAGCCCAATATATAATTTTAAAAAGCTAATTTTAAAGTTTTTCTCTTATATTTCTATATTCTTGTTTGGTCTTTTTGAGACAGGGCCTCACTATATAGTTTAGGCTGACCTTGAGCTCACTTTGTAACCCAGGCTGGTTTTGAATTTCCAAGGATCCTCCTGCCTCAGCCTTCTGAGTGCTGCGATTACAGGCATGTGCCACACTGCCTGCCTCTTTTCTGAATTTTTTAAAAGGACTAAATGCTCTAGAATTCTCTCTCTTTTTTTTTAAGTATGAAATAATGCAGCTTTCCATTTTATTAAATTTTAGCTTTGTTGACCTGTTTACTTACCTGTCTTCTTTCCCTTTTTATTTCCCTCTCTCCTCTGTTTTCCTCTCCTTCCTCACTCCCTCTCTGTTGTGTTACGTTGTTTTGTTTTGCTTTGTTTTTCTACTGGAGATTGAGCCCAAGGCCCTAGTCTCACTGGGGTAGTGCAGTAGTAGTGAACTGTATCTGTTTTGACTTTTCCAATTTTGATTTTTTTTTTTTCTCTTTTTTCCTCTTCACCTCCCTCTCTGACGAAACTGGGCATTGACACAGTGTGAACTCTTACCAGTGAGCTATATCCTCAGCTGTGTTTTTAATTGCTTATTTGGGACACAGTCTCACTAAATTGCCCAGGTACAATTTGACTTTTGATCCTCCCACCTCTGCCTTCCTCAGTACTGGGATTACAGGCATATGTGTCACTATGCCTGGTATTAGATATTTCTTTTTGCTTTGTTCCTGTTGTTCCTTTCCTAGCCTTCTGTTCTCAGAATTTTTTTTTTTTTTTTGGTTGACACAGGATCTTGTTTATGTAGTTCAGGCTGGCCTTGAACTCACTCTTTCACCCAGGCTGGTCCGGAATTCGTGGCGATCCTCCTCGCTCAGTCTCCCGAGTGCTGGGATTACAGGCGTGTGCCACCATGCCTGACTCCAGAAGTTTTTATTTTTGTGAGACTGTTCTGGAAGGAGGCTTCAACAGGTAGTGCTCAGTTTCTTCATACCTTTTTGTGTACATCTTGGAAACACCCATGCCTAAGGAGGAACTTTACAATTTCACCTGTTCTCAGATTTGTAAGCCTTTCTAGCCATTGAGTACCTTGAAGTATTTTGAGGTTCTTCTTTTCTTCTGTATCTAGGTCTGAGAGTTCTCTCTTGTTTCCTCCCATACACAATATAATACCACAACACTTAGTTTTTTTGAGACAGGGTCTCACTGTTTAGTTGCTGGCCTCAAACTCATGACAGTCCCCCTGCCTCAACCTCCTCTATGCTTGGATTACAGGCATGCACCACCACACTTGATAAGATTTACATATAGTAGTTGATTTGTCACCATTCACTTTTTTTTTTTTTTTTTAATGGATTTTAGTACAAGGTCTCACTACACAGATCTGACTGATAGTGATCCTCCTGTGTTCAGCCTCCCAAATGCTGGGATGACAGGCTTGTCCCACCACACTCAGTCTTAGTCACCATTTTAGTGCGCCCCAGGGGTGGGGATGGCACTACACACCAGGGATTAAACCCCAGTTGGTCCCTGTGCCCATTCATTTTTATCTTTGGATTCATTTGTATACCTTGTCTGTTAGTTTTTGTTTTGTGGTGCTGGGGATTAAAACCTAAAGCCTAGTTTCACACTGACCCCATCCTTCGTTATTTTTTGAGATAGTGTCACTCATGAAATTGCCCCTGCTGAAACCAAACTTATGATCATCTTGCCTCAGCCTTCCAAACTGTTTGGATTAGAGGCATGTGCCACCAGCCCCAGCTATTTTCTGTTAGCTGTGTTACTGGTTTTATCCATGGATTTTTATTGCTAGTTTTGTGGCTTTATTTCTATGGGGGGTGGGGGGATATAGAATGAAAACTTGTGCTATTGCCACCTACATCTTCCCAGAATAGCCTCTAGTTTTAAGATGAAAGGTTATGCAGTTTTAAATATTTTCAATGGTTTAAAGACATGCCTATGGCTTTGGCATTCCTTTGTGAGTGGTTAAAAGCTTTTTGGGGTTTTTGTTTGTTTGTTTGTTTTTTGTTTGTTTTTTGTTTTTTGGCAGAACCGGGGATTGAACTCAGGCTCTTGTGCTTGCCAGGGAAGCACTTATTCTACTGAGCCATCTCCCAGCCCCGTGAGTGGTTAAAAGTAAATGTGCTGGGCTCGGGGAAATAGCTCAGTGGAATAAGTGCTTGCCTGGCAAGCGCAGGGTCCTGAGTTCACTCTCCAGTACCACCAAAAAAATAAAATAAAATAAATGTGCCAAGTAATATTAATGGATCTAAAACTATAAAAGATGGATTTTAATTTCCATCAGAGTTGAATAGTTTTCCCAGTGTATTTTTATAGATAACAAATCTCTGTGTTTCATGGGATATTTTAGTTTGTTTTGTTTTGTACTGGTACTAAGGGTTGAGCCCAGGACTACCTGCATGATGGGGTATTCTACCACTGAGCTACATCCTCAGCCCTTTTAAAATTTTATTTTGAGACAGGATCTAAGTTCCCAGGCTGGTCTCAAACTTAGAATCCTATTGCCTCAGCTTCAGAGTATTTTAGATTACAGGCCTTTGCCATCAGTGCCAATTTATGTTCCATTTTTTTGTTCACCAATAATACTAACATCCTAATTATAATTTATAAAATACTTTTATTTTCATTATTTTAAGTTCATAGTCACAACAATTCATCAAGACGGTAGTATCAATTTAACAGAACATACTTGCAAGCTTTAATAAATAGGGTTTCTCCTCAGCACTTACCACATAGTTTTTGTTTTTGTTTTTTGGCTGGCTTAGGCTACCTTAAAGGCAAGTATGGTGTGGCATGTGGAGCTGGGGATTGAACCGAGGTCCCCTGTGCCTGACTGAGTTTGCCCAAGCAGGCACTTTAAACAACTGAGCTAACCCGCCAGCCTCATCTATGGGTTGATGTTTTGTTGTTGTTTGTTTGTTTTTTGTTGTTGTTGTTGTTTTCATGATTTAAGAATTTTATGAAAAGTCTTAGAAAAAACATATTCAATGCAACACATCAGTAGAATGCTAGACTGTATTCTGAAAACCATTGGTTCAGTCCCATCCCTGGAAAAGGAAATGAAACATCCAGGTGGCTGGGATGCAGCTCAGTGCTACAATATATGCTTGATACATGTAAGGCCTTGGATTTTTCCTCCAGTACCAGTCCAAAACAAAGTAAAACATGTAGCTAAGAGTATAACTGCACTTTTCTTTGTTTTCTAGATGCCATAAAAAGTACCTTAGCAAAACACTTTTATACTTGGGAAAGCATAGAAACACTGTGCTTTTGTGTTACAGGAGCATGTGTGTGGGTATGAGTGTGTGGATGGTACTGTGAATTTTGTATCACTTTATATATACACAGACAAAACTTTAATGTTTATACAGTTACATAGACCCTGGTCATAATGACACACACCTGTAATCCTAGCACTTAGGAGGCAGAGGCAGGAAAATAAGAACAACCTGAACTCCGTAGTGAGACTATCTCAGTTACTTTTCATTTGTTGCTGGGACAAAATACATGACACCCAAAATTAAGGAAGGAAAAGTTTATTTAGCTCACAGTTTGTGGAGGTTTCAGTCCATACTCAGCTGGCTCCCAGGCAGAGTGCCATATGGCAGAGAGCAGCAGTTCGTGGCATCAGAAAACAGCAAAGACAAGGGAAGGGCAGCAGCTGCAGCTTCTAGCCAGCCCCTCTCCCCTCCTTATATTGTAAACAAGCTACCCTGGGGCTGGGAGTGTAGAACTCACACAGTGTCCATGCCCTCCTCTTTTACAGTATGAGGATGTTTACCAACTAAGAATCCTGGCTCTACTGAGTCACTTAAATAAACTTCTAAACTTCTCAAATTGACACAGTGTATCAACCAGTACAGAGTACATGGGAAGAAATTACTGCTTGCCTCTCAATTAGTAGTCAGGTTGTTATAAATAATAAATTGTGGATCTGAAAGTAAGTTTTTCTATTTTTTTTTAACTCCTCCATCATTGATACCTTGTTTAATATTAAATGTGTTTAATAGTTGAGTTTTTCCCATGAAGCACAATTTTGATATATTTTTCTTGTCAGTAATGTGCAAAGAGATTAAATCTCTAGTTAACATTCTCAGGATTTTTTTTTTTTTTTTTTTAAATTTTGAGAGAGTCTCACTCTGTAGTCCAGTCTGCCCTCAAACTCACTGGTCCTTCTGCTTCAGCCTCCTGAAAACACCACAGGGCCAACAACATTCTCAAATTGACTATATTAAATCCATACCTTGTTTTGATAAAGTTTATATTATAGCTTCCTATTAGTATTTTTTCAGCATGTATGTTTCTGTCCAGCATCATTTTAATTTTTTTCCTTAACCTAGACCTTCCAAATTTGATAACTTAAGCCCCTGTTCATCGAAACATAGCCAAAATAAATGTTCACAAATAATATGGTTTAGAAATGACCGCACAATGATTTTTTTTCTTACCTCAGTTTTGTTGCTTTTCAGTTCAAATATTGGCATTGCTCTAATGTTATGGTTTAGTGCCAAAGATTAATTTATTGAAAATTAATTAGTTTAGTGGTTTGTTATGTGAATCACTCACTGCTTTATAACACTGACATCTTAATATTCTACCATAAAATCATGGAAGTTTAACCAGATTTTAGTATGTAAAATGTATTACTTAAACATTATTTTTCTCAGAGAATGTGTATTTAAGATGTCTTCACAATTTCAAATGTGATTTGACAGAATTAGATCTATAGATAACCCATATTATTTCAAAATGTCTCCTTCAGATTCTCCTGCACAGTCAGTGTCCTCTGGGGTTCGTGCCCCATCTCCTGCCCCACCATCAGTACCTTTAGGGTCGGAGAAGCCCAGCAACATCTCTCAGGACAGGAAAGTTCCAGTTCCAATTGGGACTGAACGTTCTGCACGGATCAGGCAAACGGGAACTTCAGCCCCGTCCGTGATTGGGAGCAATTTATCCACATCCGTAGGGCACAGTGGCATCTGGTCCTTCGAAGGGATCAGTGGCAGTCAAGGTATGGTGTGCTACCTGCTCACTAGACGTTTGCATTTATAACACCATAGTTATAACACTTGAAAGGAATGAAAGGAATGCTGTTTATAACATCAGAGTTCTAACACTTAAAACCATCTTTATCAGTGAGTTCCAAGAAGGGTCTGCAACATGAGGGCCTGGTGTTATAAACATCATTCCTTTCATAATCATGTTAGAAGGCCTATGTGCCTGTCACTTGCACTGTTTTTGGATTTCTGTTCTCATGTAATCTCTTGTATTGAATTTATCATTGCTTGCTGAAAACAGACATATTGAGTTCCCAATTTATCATAGATTATATATCCCATTTTTAAAGTTCTTAGGTTTTAACTTCGTTTTATAATTCTTAAGTGGCTAGGTTATTTCCTCAGGTGGTATTATATTGTTACCTGCAAACAGGGAAGTATTGTTACATATATATGCATGATATATTAGAAGAACTCACAGTTCAATGTGTAAATTCTTAGATTCTTAATTCTTAAAATATTTCATTGTCTTTTTCTTGTTAAGATATTACCAATGCTGGGCTGGGGAGGACCCAAGTTCAATCTCTGGGGTACTGCATGCCTTGCCAGCTGGGAACCAGACATGGTGGGACACACTTGTAATCCCAGTGCTGGGTAGGCTGAGACAGGAGGATCACTATGAATCTGAACTATGTAGTGAGAGCCTGTATCAAAAAAATGAAAAAGAAAATATCTAAAAAAATAAATAAAATATTACCAATTCTTTGTTTTAAAAAGAGTATTACAGATTTTTGTCTCTGCCTTTCTTTTCCCTTAGACAAAGTAGACTGGTGTAACCCTGGGATGGGAAACCCTATGATTCACAGGCCGATGTCTGATCCAGGAGTGTTTTCACAGCATCAAGCCATGGAGAGAGATAGTACAGGAATTGTAACTCCTTCTGGTACATTCCATCAGCATGTTCCTGCAGGATATATGGACTTTCCTAAAGTTGGGGTAATGGTGATTTGAAAAAGCATTTTCATTATTTCAAAATGTTTTTCTTTCTATAACCTTTGATTTCCCAGTAGATGAGCTGCAAATACAGTCCAGAATCTGGTTGAAGTGTATATATAATTTGTAAGTCTTAATTTTATTTCAGTTATTTAGAGGACTGTTTTTGACAAATACTTTGAATCTAGTAGGTTTAATGACCTAATGTTCAATCTAAATAGTCTGTTGTTAAACCCATATAATAAAAAAATAAGTTTTAGATTTCCTAGATAATTTACACATTCCCCAAAAAGTTATAAATTTATCAGATTTGTTGTTGCTGGATTTTGTAGTGTGTGTGTGTGTCTGTGGCAATCTCACTGTGTAATTCAAGTTTACCTCTTGCCTCAGTCTTGAGAGTGATAGGAATACAGTTATCTGCCACCTTGCCTGGGTATATTTATGGTTTTTTTCTGATTTGTGTACTTTTTATTTTTCTTTAAATATCTGTTTTAAGAATATTGATTCTGTTGAGAAAAGTAAACAGTAGCTTGAATGTTATTTCTCCTTTGGTTAAGGGTATGCCCTTTTCTGTGTATGGGAGTGCAATGATCCCTCCAGTAGCACCTATTCCTGATGGTCCTGGAGGACCCATCTTCAATGGCCCTCATGCTGCAGCAGACCCTTCTTGGAACTCACTGATAAAGATGGTTTCAAGCTCCACAGAAAATAATGGTCCTCAAACGGTAAGACTGATTGTCCAGCAAATAAGTACTGAGTTTTATGAAATAAAATACAGGTGAATAGATAGCAATAGAGTTTGGAGACTGTGGCCAGTTGAGGAAAAAGAGGAAGAGTTAATATAACTGAAATGTAGTTGAGGCATGTGGGAAGTGGTACTAAACATAGTAGTTTGAGGTTAAAACTATGGAAGGATAAATAGTTTGAGTACAAAACTACACCATTGGGTAGCAGATGGTAGGTAAAAGATTTTAAGGTACAAATTATTTTTATATAATTTTGAACTGATATCCCAGGAAAGTATTAAGTTTATCAGATTTTTTTCTTGTTGTTGGGTTTTGTATGGAGTTTTTTTGGTTTGTTTTATTTTGGGTGTTTTTTTTTTGTTTGTTTTTTTTTTTCTGAGACAGAATCTTACTCTGTAGTTCAGGCTAGCCTTGAACTCACAAAAATCCTGTTGGCTCAGCCTCAGATTTCTGAGTGCTTGGATTACAGGTGTGCACCACCACACACAGCTATGCTGACATCAATATTTAGCACTGGGAAAGAGATCAGTACAGTAAATATCAAAACCACATATAATTAGCTGAAATTTTATAAAAATTGTAAGACATTTGTATATTTTAGCTTATATTGATGCATGTTTTAATATCTGACTCATTCTCTTTCCACAACCATAAATGTGAATATGCACAGGTAATGATTTTTTTTTAAAAGATGATGACAATATAGATCCTGCGTAAGGAGTAAAAAGAGGCCTATGAAAATGACAGGTGTGAGGGTGTACACCACCGAATGGGAAGCCTTTACCTGTCACACATAAGACCCCTAGCACTGCAAAACAAAATTTTTAAAAAGCAATTTAACATTGTTCAGTTTGCTATGTTACAAATTCTTGTGATACTGAGAGGTTTTATCATTTAGTTTAGATAATAAGAGCACTTCATTAATTAGGAGTTTTAATCAAATATATTTAATAAGATACATATTCTTTGTATTCCTAGGTGTGGACTGGACCCTGGGCACCTCACATGAACAGTGTGCATATGAACCAGCTGGGCTGAGGCAGACGAGCTTGTTAGCCTGCAGATTCCTTTTCATTCACAGGAAATCACAAGTGGCCAGAAAAACAATTATGCTCCCAAATCATTCTACTGATGTGCTTGACTGAAGTGTGTAGGCTTTTTGCAGAAGAACTTACTAACTGACCTATTTTCTGTGAACATTTGTGACTGCCCACTCCCCATCATCGGTCATTTTACCTTAGTTAGCTTTTTTTTCTTATCATTTTTCTTTTTTCTTTCCTTCTTCCCCTTCGGACATAACTTTCTGTTGAAGCTGTTCTTTGGCTGGTTGGTTTTAGTACTGTAAACTGCTTCTGAGCAAACACGGAAATTTAGCAAAATTATGTAAACTTGATCCTGAGGTTTTAGAATGACAAATAAATGTACAATTGTTTACATAACAGAAAAGGCTAAGCAGAAAGTAAATTTCAATATGTCAGTATAGAGGCTCTACTTTATGTAGACTTAAATTAATGTGAGATATGTACCTTCATATTCAGAAATCTGGATGTTTCCTTCATACATTAAACTATTAATAAGCATCACTTTTCTACTTGTGTAATTTAAGCATAAAGTGTGATGGGCATTATTAGTGCTTGTTTCCTTACATTGATTTAAAACACCCAGCTTACTCTCACTTAGGTCTTTTTGTAGCAAGATGCATACAGAAAACATTTCTTACTTTTCCCTATCTTTCTATTACCTTTTTTCACCCAACACACTCTTTCTCTCTTTACTTTCTTCTGTCCTTCCTTTGGCTCTGTAATACTGGTATAAAATTCCCTAGATGAAAAGGCTGTAAGGATGTTCACATGTAATGGTTGCTCCAGAAAGATAGAATATCTTCATCACCAGTAGTTTCTTCAAAACATAAAATGTTTAGACATTTTTAGACTATAGAAGGCCACCGCTATTCTCAGTCAACATATACAAGCTCTTAATATACTGTTCATTATTACAAACAATTGAGTGTAGTATTATCTCAACATTGGCTTTATATTCATTTAGAGTCAACATAAAATTTAAATTTTCAATAATTCAGTGAGTATTTTCTTTTTTTTTCAATTCAGAAGGCTTCATGCTCTCCATACTAACATATTATCAGTGAAAAGGATCAACAGCTAACTTGGGCCAAGTGAGAAAGTTTGTATTTGTCATTACAGAGATTACTGTAGATAAATGGATATACAATTACAATGCAAAGTCTCCATTCATTGGGATTTATATATTCCATTCACTTGAAATAATAAAACAATAATGTATCCAAGAATATGTGCCCTACCCTGGCTCCTATGGAAAAATAAATTGTCTGGTTGAAATGTAAAAGTAAAGCATGACAGTGAAGTCATGTATGCATGAATTCATCTTTTTAAGTTAGACTCAAATTCCACACTGGTAAAAAATAAGCATTAACTAAAATTCAGGTAATTTCATTAAGAATAGAGTTTTAATACAGTTCTTTGGCAGCCTGAGTAAAGCATCTAAAGATAGTTTCACAAACATCCTGAAGTCTATAAAGAGCACATTCCTGTCTTTTAATTTAGGACATGATCTTAGCAGTATATAAATTTGTCTTTCCACCTATGATTAATATGCCCAAAGTTAAAATATTTCTTAAAACAATATAATTATAGCACTTTATTAAGAAAACAGGATATAATATTACTTAACAGAAACTCTTGCCATTATTCTGTATTTTTTGTTTGATTTTTGTGTTAACTGAGTTCATTTCTACTTATCCTTCGAAGAACAAATATTGCTCAACAGTTATTATAGCACATGAGTTGTTGTGTCACTACATAGAATTTCTTAGCATGAGCTGTTTCACTGAGAGCCGTGGGGAGAACACCTATATTTTCTCAGCTTGTGGAGCTGTGGGGCGGGGAATTAGGTTGAAATGCTCCACATTTACATTTTGGAATCAAGCTTGTAAAGTACAGTGTTGTGGTTTTGGAAGACTGTCATCAGAACATTTTTCAAATGCATTTTTTACATTTCAGATGTAATTCAGTATATTTATATTTGAACAATAAGTTTTTTGTTATACAGGTCCTTTTTTCCCCATTTTGGAAGAATGTGATACTGTGTATGTGCAGTCAACATGATGTATTCTCATTCTTCATTTTAAATGACTCAAGTCATTTAATTCTGAGAAATAACACTTAAAGCCCAAAATAGTATCCCAGTAATGATACAACCTATTTATACCAACATTTTAGATCATTTTGTTTACCATTTCCATCAAATCCCCATTTCATGCCTTCTCAACATTTAAACATACCTGAGCCATGTGCGGTGGCACAAGTATGTCATTCCAGGTTGAGGCTTGAAGATTTCTGCATGTTCAGTGCCAGCCTAAACTAGACCCTGATTCTGAAAAGCCAGTGACACAATTGATTTTGCAATGTCTGTTTTCCACTACTATAAAGTAAAATTTTTATATTTTTCTGGAGAAACAGATACATAGAATGTTAATGCTGTTTTATCAGTAACAATAGTGTATTTCTTTTGCCTCATTACTTGCCTGTTTCATTTTGGTTTTTATTTTGGTTTAGTTTGGTTTTTGAGACAGGGTCTCTTGCTGTATAGTGTAGCCAGATCTTAACAAACTTACATAGCCCAAGCTGGCCTTGAACTCACAGTGATCCTTCCACCTCACCCTGGGATTACAGTCATGTGCCATATATGCTCTTTTAAAATGGGACAAGTTAGACAAAACTGAGAAACTCAAGATTGAAAAACGAATTAAAATCCTCCAATTGATTTATTTTCACTTTGTTTTTCATAAATCATTCATACACATCTAGTATTATAGACCATCAAAGTGTGCCAGAATTTTTTTAAATATAAGAAACTTTAGAATCTGTGTATTTGGTGTATTTAGGTTATACTGGGAAAATTCTGTATGCTCGTGAAAAACATCTCAGTGGTAATTGCTTGCTTACACAAGTCTCAGATGTGTGGAATTGAAGGCCACTATCACTTGAATTTTGGGTAAGTGAATATAAATTTTCATAGTAGCACTGATACAATTCTGTTATAATGTGATGAGTGCAGGATTAATACCTGTGTTGTTGGGTTTCATGTTTGACTTCTGCCTACAAATGATTGTTTTTTTAAAAAAGCAAGCTTTGCATGTTTAATATTTGAAAACCAGTAAAAAAGATGACATGAGAGGATTTTTTTTTTTTTTTTGAGATGATGCTTTTCAATACAAAGGGGAAAGAGCTAATTCTGTATTAGATAACTTTCACTTTCTTTATAGAAAGAAAAAATGGCTGGGGTTGGTGGCAAATGCCTGTAATATCAGCACTTGGAAGGCTGAGGCAGGATTGCCCTGAGCCTCAGCTATATAGTGAGTTTAAACTCACAGCAGTACCAGCCTTAAAAAAAAAACCACCACCTGACTGAAAGGGTCCTCTTTAATAGGGCTGGCCAGGTAGCTCAGCGGATTAAAGCACTTGCCTATGCAGATCCAGTGATGGGGTTCGATCCCAGCATGCCTTGGTGGCATGCACCTATAATCCCAGTGCTCGTGAGGCTGAAAACAGAGGAGAATCACTATGAGTCTGATCTGTGCATTGAGACCCTATATTAAATACAAAATAAATAAAGGATCCCCTTTAACAATTGCTCATCATAGAAGTGATTCAGTTTAGTTGTTTTGAGAGGAGGTTTCTTTATGTATTCCACATTGACCATGAATTTGTGGTGATCCTCCTACCTCAGCCTGCCAAGTGCTGAGATTACAGGCACATGCCATGGTGTGGGGTTTTTTGTTTTTAAGTTGGTTTTGGGAGGTTTTTTGACAAACATATTAGAAGGCATATTTGCAAAATGTAAGATCTAAAATTACTGCATATAGTAATTCAGATTTTGAGCACATTAATTGAGTTTGCTGTAACAAACAAACCAACTGGATGGCTTAAGCAAATTGATTTCTCGGGGCCAGGGAGATGGTTCACTGGAATAAGCGCTTCTCTGGCAAGCACAAGGGCCTGAGTTCAATCCCTGGTTCCGCAAAAACAAAAACAACAAATTGATTTCTCATGGTTCTGAAGGCTGTGTTGTCCAGCATTAGCATTCTTGCCTGTTCAGTTCCTGATGAGAGCCTCTTTCCTTGTTTCCAGATATTTTTCTATTTCTTTACATGGGCCCAAGTCATCTCTTTCGTGTTACATAAGGATACTAATCCAGTCCTGGGGGTTCTAGTTTTTTAATCCAATTACCTCCTTAAAGATCCTATACCTAAATACTAACACTGGAGAGTAGGGCTTCAGCATACAGTCTTTGTTTTTGAGACAGAGTCTTACTATGTAGTCAGACTACCCTCAAACTCACAGCATTCTTCCTGGCTCGATGTCTCACGTGCTGGGATTATAGACATGTGCCACCACCCCTGGCTTAACATACACATTTCTAGAGAGCACATTCAATCCACTGCAAATTTCATTCCTGTGTTCAGCAGCATCCTGGTGGTTATGAACAATTTCAGAGACTTAAGACAGGAAATATAATGAAATTCTTATATGAATACATCTTAAATTGAAAACCTGCCTCTTAAGAGCTGAGCATGGTTGTGCACATCTGTAATACCAGCACATCTAGATGCCTGAACAATTCTGTCATTTAGGGAGACCCTGTCTCTAAAGGCTGAGGATGTAGCTCAGTGCTAAGGTCAAGAGTTCAATCCTAAAAGTAGCACAGGAAACAAGGGGGGGGGGCATTTAATACATCTACCAAATGATAGTCCAGCAGTAGTACCGTAGAACTTTATTGTGCAATAGACGGTTCATTTTGTTATGGTTTGAAACCTAGGACTTAGGTGTGCTTTACCACTGAACCAGGATATATGGGTTTCCCTGGAAGCTGTGGCTTGCTACCAACCAAAGAGTATTTCAGGAGATGGTTTCTACAGAGTGGGTGTCAATTTCACATCCTAAAAAGAAAAACAGTAAGATGAACCTAAATGGTTCATCCTAAATGGACTGTCCATATGTTGCTGTTTGTAAGGAACTCAGTTTGTAATATAACTAAAAGATAAGAATAAATTAATTATAAATGCTGATCTTTTAAAAATGTCTTATTACCCAGGCATGGTAGCAAACGCCTGTTAATCCAGCACTCCAGAGGCTGAAGGAAGAGGATCACTATTTCAGGCTAGCCTGAATTGCATAGTGATAACCTGTCCGAAATAGTTTTGTGTTGCACAAGTTTATCTGGATGGGCTGGGGATATGCTCAGTAGTAGAGTTCTTGCTTTGCATGCAAAAGGCCATGGGTTTGATCCCCAGCACCACAAAATTTCATCTGTAAACCATTGAAAATCATTTATATTAGCTGCTCAAATATTTACATGAACATTTTATATTGTATTGTGTGACTCAAAAGATACAAGATTGCACAATGTTGGATGACCAACTACATAGATAATTCGTGATAACACTTGTATCAGGCCTTAACTTGAAAATACTTCCAATATTACCTAGCAAGTAGATAACAAATGAGAAATGTGTTTATATCCACACCGGGTACGGTGGTACGTGCCTGTTATTCCAGCACTTGAGAGGATGAGGGGGAAAGATCACAGCTCAAGGCGAGTCTTGGTCACATAGCTAGACTCTGTCTACAAAACATACATATGCGTGCATATGCATGAGAGCAGCATAAATCTTAAAGATTTTACTTGGGTCATTTGTAGGTCACAATTTGAAACTTAATAGGATACTTTTCTGTGTGGGAATGTAATACCCGAGTGCAGTCTGTGACAGGAAAGGTGAACAGTAAGCAGGCCATTTGGAAAAGCCCATGCTTGGCTGGTGATCAAATATTTTTTTGAGATTTGAAGAGCTTGGAAACTTCCGGTTTTTTGAGTAACAAGTGTATAAATGTGGACTTTAAAAATATATAGCAAAAATTTTTTTCTGGTTTAACCATAAATACAAATTATTTTTGCAGTACTGAGGGTTGAACTTGGTCTTGTGCATACTAATCAAATGCTGTACCACTAGTCTGTATCCTGCGGTGTAAATACGGATCGTTTGGGGGCTTTTTGTTTTTAGTTGTAGGCTGGTCTTAAACTCACGGTGTAGCCCTGTCTGGCCGTACACTCGCCATCCTGCCTCAGCCTCCTAAGTATTAAAATTACAGGCAGACGGCACCATTCTGTTTTGGTTTTTAAACAGCTTTTCTCTACACAATATTACAAATTCAGTCTTGGCTAGTGGTGGCAAACCTATGTGTGCTGCAGAGAGCTGTTTGTCATTGAAATCTCTAAAAGGTTCACAGTCACTAGGGGTTAGGATAAATGTTACCCTAAAAAGGCCAAATCTTTACAGAGAATGCATAAGCATATTAATTCACTTCCTATAATTTTTAGGTAATGAAATTACCATTTCATATTGAATTTGTTTCCAATTAAAATCAGTAGACAATAGCAATTGTTTTTGTTTGTGGCCGGGGCAGGGTTTCACTATGCAGTTCAGGCTGGCCTGAACTCATGGGGATCCTCCTGCCTCAGCCTTCTGCTGCAATTACAGATGTTTTTTAACACAATAGGTAAAAGATTGGTAGGTTATTTCTTGTACAAAAAAAAAAAAAAAAACTTTAGCATATGGTGGTTATAGAATTTTAAAACGAAGATGTCACTTTCTGTGGACTGGTGTTTATGTACGTTTGATACGTGGGGACTTAACTGTTACCGGGCGGTTCCTTTAGAATAGGCCTGTTCATGGGCGGGTCTCCTGGGCTTTCTGCCTCCAACAAAGGACAAGACCAACAGCGTCAGTGTCTACTGGGAAGTGGTGCACGGGCAGTGAAAGGCCGGCTCCGCAGAGCGGGCGGTGCTGGAGCTAGAGAAGGCGTGGACGGCGCTCCTACTCGGCCTCCCCACCCCTCCCGAGCCGCCTGAGCGCCCGCACTGCCAGGCTTCCCCTAGCCTGCGGCGCCCTCTGAAACGCAGTCTCCGAGCTGCCCGGCCCCGGACCTAACCGCACCGCGGGGGCTCGGCTAGCGCCCCGGAGCCACTGCCAGGCCTCTCTTGTTTGCAGACCGTCCTGCCTCGGCCTCCCCGGGGGGTACGCCTCAGCTGTAAGATCTCTGTTGCCTTTACAATGAAATACACGACTTCCAAGGAAACTGAGCTGCTGACGACCACACGGTAGGGCTGCGCTCTGCATGCTGCAGCTCTACAAGCAGAGGCTGGCCACGCCGCCGGGCACTTCCCAGGAGGCCAAGAGCCGCCAGGCCGCCGGTCTCTGCGTCATTGTCAGAGCGCCACACACGTCAGGGGCTCGACCGGGCGTCGGCGCGCACACGCTGAACACGCGAGCTGCGGACGCATGCGCGCAGCGGCCAGAGCGGCATCTCGCGGACATGGTGGTCCGCCTTCGCGGCCAGTGGCGCGGCCACCTGCTGGCCCTACGGCTCCGGGCCCGGCTCCCCGCGCTCCCGTTGGCGGCGGCCGCGAGCCCTGTGCTGACCCCAGGTGGCTGGTATGAGGCCCTGGCCATGTCGGCGCCGGTGCACGCCGTGGAGGAGGCGCTGCTGGGTGCGCACGCTGCTGGCCTGCCCTGGTGGGGCGCCATCGCGCTAGCCGCCGCCGGCCTGCGCGGTCTCACGCTGCCCCTGGCCGCCCAGCAGCGCCGCGTCCTGGCCCAGGTGAGCGCGCGAGGCAACGTGGAGATTTAACCAGACCCTACCGCGCAATGCAAGTAATAGCTAGCAGTTTACAAGCTGGTTTTGTTTTGGTTTGGTTTTTTGAGACAGGGCTCTCTGTGTAGCCCAGTCTGTCCTGGAACTCGTAGCAGTCCTCCTGCCTCAGCCACTGGACCACTGGAATGACGGGCGTGAATTAATATACCCTGCTATTCAGTGGGAGAGGGAGCTTTTTTATTTTTCTGTGGAGTGTAGCAATACTTTTCTTGCCTACTTTACTATATTCCAGTACTTTGGACAGCAAAGGTTAGTGATTTTAAAACTATGGACAGTAAAGGTTTTTGTTTTGTTTTTTTGTTTTTTTTTCAAGTGTAGGCTTTCAAAAAGTGGCATTCATGTTTTTGAGATCATTGTCATTTTTTAAAATGGAGGAATAAAAGAGGAATATAGCAGCATGAAGGCAGAGAGAATTAACACAGGGAAGGAAAAAATGAAGTTTACTTTTGGCTTGGTTGCCGTTAAGGTTTAATATAGGGTGTAATTGTGTTATTTTCTCCATTTACTATATATATATTGGGAAATTAGGGGAAGAACTGTGAAGCCCAGAGTCCAGTTTTCATTTAATACTCTGGAGAAGGTTGTATTACATATATCTATCTGAATCCTTCTGCCTCAGCCCAGTGCTGGGATCACACAAATGTGTCATCACATCCAGATTAGTTTCTTGACATGGTAAGCTACTTTTTTTTTTTTTTTTCTCCGAATGCCTTCAGGGCAGGTTTGGCTGGCTTGAGTTGTGGGGATGGAACCACAGCAACCTGAGCCTGACTGCTTTGTTAAAGCAGCCACTTAAAGAACTGAGCTAAGGGGCAGGCCCCCAGTAAGCTACATTTTTAAGTGAGTAGAGGAAATAGTAAAATTATGTGGTTGTGAGTAAAGATCCTTTATGTGCTTATAACAAATTACTTTTCTTTAGCTAGGTGGAAAATTTGCAACCAGAAATAGAAAAAAATGCCAAGCAACTTAACCAAGAAGTTGCAGTTTGTGCTCATCAGTTGGGATGGTCCAAAAGAGTTACCAGGTAAGTAAATTTATGTGTAAATGGAGACATTCTGTATATTGTAGATTTAGCAAGAAACTAGTTCCTTTATTTTTTGACTTCATGTCACTGAAGCATGATTTTTTCATAATAATATAAATTATTATTTATATTGGAATGAAAGGAAAGAAAAGGAACAGAAAAGCAAAAGTAAGAACTTGTTCCAGTTCTATTGTTTCTGTGTTATTGGGCGTGGAACCGCAGTTGCCAAAAGACATCCCCAGCCTTAGAGACTTAATTTTAAGACAGGATCTCATTAAGTTGAGACTACATCTAGCCATCTAGCTCAGTTGCCTAGGCTAGTCTTTTTTTTTTTTTTTTTTGAGATGAAGGTCTCAATTTGTAATGCATACTTGCCTTGAGCTGGTTATGTAGCCCGGGCTGGCCTCAAACTAATGGCAATTCTCCTGCCTCAACCTTCCAAATACTGGGATTAGCCCAGCAGTCTCAAACTTGACTATAGTTGTATTTGAGGGACTCTAACCCATTGAAGGAAAGACTTGTAATCCAGTGATGATGTTGGTAAATTAAGTGCTATAACAGCAGCTCTTGAGGGAGGTACATTTGAAGGCTTCCTGCCTGTTTGCAGTTCATCTTAAAGAACAAACAGTTCATTAGGTTGGGCACTTCCACTAGCATACTGATGTGGAAGGCTGATCTGTTGATCAAAATTCCCTCATGGGTCCAGAATGTGCAGGTGTCTGTAGAGAAGATGCAGGAAATAAACTGGGAAGAAGAGAGAGGCCACTAGTGTGTACTATCTTAATTCAATACACTTGAATTTGATTAAATTCAGCAAAATTGTGGGTGATGGCCCACTTGTCTTGTACAAAATGGTGATGTTACAGATATGACTGAACATTTGACCCTTGAAACTAAAGACAAGAAAGAAGTAATGGATGAGTACGCAGATTGAAAGGATTATGGTAAGGGAGTTAATTGGGAAGTGGAGACCCTTTTGATGGTCCAGAAGCATCCACACAGGACAGAAACACATTGCTACAAAAGGTAAATTAAAACACCTAGAGAAGAGTTTGGCTGGCGTGCAGAGATCAGAGTGCATTATGCTTTCAGTTAGTCTCTTTGACAGCAGTTGTGGTCACAGCGTAACGATGGTGATATGTCCCTCCCTAAAACCTGACTAGCCAGTATGGGTGTCTCCTTCGAGGATGAATGGCTGCTAGTTAAATGAAATTTTCTCATTGTTCTTTTTTCCCTCTTCCCTCAATCTAGGCTTACTTATCTAAAGAATATGAGGAGGCTTGTTTCAGAGCTGTATGTTCGGGATAACTGTCACCCTTTCAAAGCCACTGTGTTGGTCTGGATTCAACTTCCAATATGGATCTTCATGTCTGTTGCCCTCCGGAATTTGAGTACAGGGGCAACGCATTCAGAAAGTAATTATTGTAGCAGGCTACTTCTCCAAAGGGAGGTGTCCAGCATTATACTTCACGGAAGGAAAAAAAAAAAATCTATAGTTTCTTTCTTTCTTTGGTTTTGTTACATTGCAATACTGGGTATTGAACTTGGGACCTTGGTGCTTGCCAGGCAGTCACTTATACTGCTGAGCTATATCCCCCTGCTTTTTTTTGAGACAAGTTCTCACTATGTAACCCATGCTAGCGTTGAACTTGTGGCAGTCCCCCTGCCTCAGCCTCCTGAGTGCTGGAATTACAGGCATGAGCCATCATGGCTGTCTACACAGTTTTTATAACTGCAATCTTCCTTTGAAATTGTAGAATTTGTGTTTGCTTTGGCAGCACATATGCTTTAAAAGGACGTAGATTTTAAAATCATTGTAAACAGATCAGCTATTTTGGGATAACACTTTTGTATTTTCTTTGCAGGGATGGGTGGGTATCTACATGAATGAAAATAACCTGAATAAGACCATTGTAAATCTTCAGTGTGAGAGACCCCTTACATGAATTGCTTATGTTTTTTAATACTTGTGCTGTTTTTATGAATTCTGTTGTTTTATTTATGAAACTATTTCACCAGGTTTTTCTGCTCAGGAGCAGTTAGCCACGGGTGGAATTTTATGGTTTCCTGACCTCACTGCTTCGGATTCTACTTGGATTCTGCCCATCTCTGTAGGTGTTGTCAACTTACTGATAGTGGAGGTCAGTGGTTTGAAATGGAATTGCTTATGGGATTTGGGTTTGTTTGGTGCTCAGGATTAAACTCAGGACATCACAATTGCCAGGAAAACTGACCTAGTGAGCTATGTCCCCAGCCCTGTTTTTTGCTTTTGATTTATGTTACTGCTATTCTGACCTCAAATACACATATATTTCAGGTGGTGGAAATTACTTGAAAGTACAATTCAGACTCCTTAGATTGAGATCCCAGATTAGCCCTGACCTAGGCCAGTTCCATAAACACTGTGTCTCAGAATAATAATGAAAAGAAAAAAATAAAAGAGTGCCCTCATTTCCAGAAAAAATTCAGAATTTCTTTTAGCTCTAAAATTACATGATTTAAATGGGGTTTTCCCCAACCCCCCTTTCTGTGGATTGAACCCAGGGCCTTTGCATTGAGCTAAATCCTGAGCCCATTTCTAATATATTATTTTGAGAAAAGATCTGACCGACTTGCCAGATTGCCTAGGCTGGGCTAGAGTTTTTTAGCATCCCAGGGCATATACCACTGTGCCTATCTAATGTACTTAGTCTTACAGTTTGCTTTTGTAAAGATAGTAATTCGGATGCTTAATCCATCCAAGCTTTATTCCCATAATAGAGTTGTATTTTATGAATATATGTATTAGTCCGTGAATTTGTGGCTAGGAAACAGTTGTACTTGATTGCCATTTTTTTTCTAAGTGACCTTAGAAAAGTTATTGAATTTCTTTATAAATGCAGTAAAGAAATTTGTGCCTAGAATGTATCACTGCCTGTCCCCTGCTGTCTTGCTCAACAGTGTAGGGAGAGCAAATCTCTTCTTTTTTTTTTTTTTTTTTTTTTTTTTTGGTAGTACCCGAGATTGAACACAGGATCCTGCACTTGCCAAGCAAGTGCTTATTCTACTGAGCTATCTCCCTGCGTCTCTCTCCGCAAACCTCTATTTTCATAAGCACTGTTTTCAGACTGCATAAACTGCCCTGACCTAGAAGAAGTTTTAGAAATTTTTTATGTCAGTTGAAATTGCACAGACCTCATGTCTGCTGATCCTTTTTGGAGAATATATTCCATATTTTTGTTTGTGTGGACCTTATTTTTTCAATATGAAAATGATAAGATTCAAAGGTCTTAGATGAACGTGTCTCAAGGGGGTCTTCGCCATGGCCTGAGCATCTGCTACAGCCTAAACATGGATGGTGCTCTTGTTTGCTTCTGTGCTATCTCATGGCTGGTGACAGACAGTATGTGCCAGGCTCTTCTTTTTTTTTTTCTTTTCTTTGGTAATAGGAATCTAACTCAGGTCCTCACTCTTGCCACGCAGGTGCTGTACCACTAAGCTAAATCCCCAGCCATGCCAGCCAGATTTTGAAAGCAAGTCGAATATGTAAACTCATTTCATTCTTCGGGTAATCCTGTGAGTTGCAGGTATATAGGAACTTTTTTACTCCATTTTAAGGAAAGAAAAGTGGCACAAAATAGTAAGATTTGTATGAGGTCATATGGCCACTAACAGTGGAGGATGCTTTCTTACCCTCACTAGCTTGCCTCTGGAATCTTGATCTGAACAATTCATGAATTACAGATGCTTTTTCTTGACTTTGTACACCTAAGTACAAAGTAAATGGCAATCAAGTACAACTTTCCTATCCACAAATTCCTGGACTAATAAATTATATTCATAAAATACAACTCTAATACGGGAATAAAGCTGGATGGACTTAGCTGTACTCATGACACTGAGGCAGAAGGATCACTGTGAGTTTGATGCCAGCCTGGGGTATAGTGAGACCCTGTCTCAGAAAAACAAACAGAACACTGTAGAATTCAGTTGACTTTGAACACATAGTGTGGCCCAGGGTGGCCTTGAATTCACAGCAATCCTTCTACTTCAACCCCCCGAAGTATTGGGGGGAAGCTACATGCTAAAGATGAAAAACCAGTCATACAAATTTACCACAGTTTTTTTTGTTTGTTTGTTTGTCTGTCTATATTTTTGTATGCTGGGAATTGAACATAGAACTTTTGAGGATGGTAGGCAAATGCTCTACCACTGAATAATAGCTTAACTGGTCAAAAAAAATCAACTTTTATTGAAAAGCCTGTGTAATTTAGTATGCATTTTAATAATCATTACCTGTATGTGTATGTTTGTTTTCTACCTCTTCAGCTTTTTGCTCTACAAAGACTCAGCATGTCCCGTTTCCAGGTGTACGTCACTTATTTTGTGCGTGCCGTGTCAGTGCTGATGGTTCCCATCGCTGCAGCTGTGCCCTCAGTAAGTGATACTATGTGCTCCATGGCATGCGTTTAACCCTATCCTGAGCACAGATGGCCTGGCTTGTAGAGCTTCTTCTGAATACTGGATCCTTTACTCTTTCCATACTTCTGGGAGAACTAATCTGTCTCTAATACTAAGTAATACTTAATCTTGTAAAATACTATGACTATAGTATTTGACCCATTTGATTAATTGATACATTGAGCTTTGTTTTCCTGTGTCGCCTGAACTGAGGTACTTAGTACTAAAAAAAGAAAGCTTTTCAGCCCATATGCATTTATATAATTTAATCTCATAATAGTGCTGTGAGTTAGGTTCAATTGCCCGTGTTTATATGTAATGCGACTTTGGGCAGAAAAAGGAAAAGGAATGGTGGTGTTTGTAGTTACTGCAGTTTGTCATGTATTTCCTGCAGATACCTTAGAACTTATTTTGAAGGGAGGAGCTTAGATACATCTCCGTATTTACTAAGAACCAACAACATATTAAGCAGAATTTCATTGTTGCCGGGTATGGTCACACGTGCCTGTGATTCCAGCACTTGGGAGGCTGAGACAGGAGGATCACCATGATTTCCAGGCCAACATGGGTAACACAGTGAGTTTGAGGCCATCCTGAACTCTCAAACTCTTAGAGACACTGTCTCAACCAAAAAAAAAAAAAAAAGAGAGAGAGAGAGATTGTTAGTAGTTAAGGTTATGCCAGCAAGTGGAGAAGTACTTCATAGTGCTTGTTTTATAAAGCAGTGTGTTGTGAGCATTAAGCTGTCATTTGGATGTGATACTGTTTTTAATGCTGTTTAAAATAAGTGTCCTCATCTCTAAAATAAATACCATGATTCTGTGAGAATTAATGGCCTAATGTTAAAGTACCTTTTATGGTAATGTTATAAAATGCCCTGTTATGGTTTTGGTTTGTGTCTTGATGTCCCCCCAAAGCCTCATGCAGTTCTAGGTGGGACTCTTTTTAGAGATGGCTGAATCTACAATGTGTGATTGATTCATGGTTCAGTGTTAGGGTTAAGGGTGGGTTATTGCTGGGTCAGCCCACTGTTTGTACTGGCACCGTCCTAATCTCAGCAGTCTGGATAAGATAATAGGGGCAATAAAAGACTTATTTCCCCTTTTTGCTGTTGTTCATGGCAACAATGAACTGTTTTTTGCCATGTGCCACCCTTTTTTGGAGCCAACCAATTATGTACTGAAATCTTTACAGTGAGCCAGATGAACCTTTTAACTTCAGATTTTGAGAATTTTCTCACAGCAACAAGAGAAAAGTAATGAAGATACCATGTAAAGGTACAACAGTATAAATTTAGTGTATTTCTGGAGAGAAACAACTTCAATTACAACTGAAGAAATACAGATGATATAAGTAGATCCAGTGGTATTTTAGTGAAGAACTGAGTTCAAAATAACTAATCTAAAAACATGTCTAAATCCAGGCTTGTTCTCAGAATCCTGTCCTATCAGCTGTCTGTCCCTAGATTTTGATGTCCTTGAAGGAGAAACAGGCACTAACATTCATATCCTCTCCTTTCAGTCGCTCGCCTTCTACTGGTTGTGCTCCAGCCTCATGGGCCTCGTGCAGAACTTGTTGCTGTGTTCACCTCGATTTCGCCAACTTTGCCGAATACCATTGACCAAGTCACATTCAGCTACTCCTTACAAAGACCTCTTTGCTGCCTTTTATGCCAAATTCATATCAAGAAAATGACGTTTCACCATAATTTTGAAACAGTTGCAGATGTCACCATCACATTTATATATATATAGATTTAGAAATTATTTAATTTGCTTTTATTTTAAAATCAGACTATGAAGACTATGGGTTAAAATGTAAGCCTGATCTATTTGACAGTAATGAAAATCTTCTAAGTGGTAGAAATGTGGTATGTCTAACTGTAACAGAACCAATGTTCTATAATGGAACCGAGTGTTGACCCTGTTTAGAAAATTATAACTTGTTACAATTCCCAGAACTTTGGAGAATGAGAGCAGAAACTGAAGTCAAATTGTACTACTAAAAAGTGTCATTAAAGTTTTGTAAAGGAAGAGGATCCACTGAGGTGATTTTTAATATTTTGAATAGCATACGGAGGGTTGTGTATCTGTTTGAATATCTAATAAACATTTGGGTTTGGTTTTCTCTTCAGAAAACTCGTGCCTACACTGTTAAGGACCTTCATCAGCTGCCCTGAAGCTCTTCTGGGGACTCGTAGGCAGGAAACTTCATGGAGCACACATTGAGATTGACCCAGAATGTGACTAGAGAAAAGGCCTGAAGTCCATACATTGGAATAGTCCATGCACCCAGCTCCCTAAGTAAACATCATATCCCAGTGCAACTTTGAAGAATAGAAGAATTGCCCATTCCTGTTTCTGAATTTAAGAATTGGAATGCAGAGTACACTACGTATTGCTGGAACCTAAAGTAGAGACTTATGAGCATTGTTTATGGAGTCAAAGGAAAAAATGAAAATGTTAGCTGCCTACTGCAGAGGTGATTTTAACATGTTTGGAACAGGGTTGCAATTCATTTCAGTATGTCTCGATGCCTGTCAGCTCTAATTTCAGCTCAGTCACTCTTGCTGGCTTGAGCCATGGGTAGTGTGTGGTGAGTATCCCAGTGCTCATTCCACTTCTCCAGGAGCCTTTGATTGTAGAGAGGCATTGATTTAGCAGACCAGATGTCATCTATTACAGTTCCTCAAGAAAACCATTAAAATGGTGTAAAACATTTGTAATTCAACTAACTTGTGGTACAATTATAAATACCTGTTATATACCAGCAATAGGGTACTGATGTTAAAATTTGGAGAACTAGTTACTTATAAATACATGATTACTAATGAATACATAAGTATAAATTTCTTTTAATTTCTTGGGCTTTTTTTTTTTTTTTTTTAAATGTATTTGGTACAAACTCTCACTATACAGCTTGGACTCATAGTGATCCTTCTGTTTTCAGCTTCCCGAGTGCTGGGATTATAGGCATATGGTACCACACCCGGTCTCAGTGACAGGTGGTGCCAGGGATTGAATGCTCGTCCCTGCACTTGGCCTAAACAGGCGCTTAGTCCACTGAGCTGTCTTTCTGGCCCTTTATAAGTTTTAAATTGGTATGACTGGTACCCATATTTTGGCAGTAATTCAAATTTAACCCACTAGGTAGATTTGGTCCATTCGTAGACTTTATTAATTTTATTAGTAAAAAGACTGGTAAAATGATACATGTACTAGCAGTGGGTCAGACTCACCCAAAATTTATTTGAAAGGATTAAATGCTCTAGATACATGACAGGGACTTAATGTAGGAAAAATTGACAGGTAGTAGAGTTATGTGCCTGTTTAATTGAGAAACACAGTTCTTGTGGAAATATTTAGGAATAAATTTGACAAGCATTTAAGGAAATTGCTGGTTTTCATTGAGTTAGAATATGGACCAGTCTGAGGCACGCTGTCATCCCATCTCAGTGTTTTACAATAAAATAAAAACAGGTACACTTCTGTGACTTACGTTGTGTGATGTCTATGGATTCTTGATATGGTAGATTAACTAATGGTCAACTTGTAACACCCAGCTGAACTGTGTGAGGGTGGTGCAGGATATGGAAGGCCCTTCTGAGGGTTGTTGCCAGCAGCATAAAAAGAACTGACATCAAGCTATGCTTTTGATTCTCCTGGACACACTTGTCACGCTAGTTTTCCAGATATGAATTCAGCTGTACTCATTGGAGGAGCTCAGGTCTTTGCAGTCACTGAGGATGGCCACAGGTTCTCTTCTGGTCCTTGAGTGTCACTTCGTGGCTCCAGTGCCAATCCCTCAGCCTGCTGGCACAGATCCTTCATTTCACTGGTATAGACTCTAGCTTCCACCAACTTTTGGGCCTTCTCAGTGCAAATCCTTGAGAAAGACTTGCATGAGACATCGTTGTGGGCTCTAGACCTCCAGTGGGACTCATGTAGGGCACTGCTGTAAAATCCAAACCTTCAGCTGGATTCTTTGGGTCTCCAGTGCCTGGACAGATCCCCTGTACTCTTCTGCATTTCACTTTTTGGATGAATAGTATAAAGTAATCCTATAAATTAGGATTGTACGTCCTGTATGAAATTATTCCTTTGCCTTAACTACAACAGTTGGCCTAGTTGTGATCCATGTTCTTTGTTACTGGAGATTGAACCCAAGGCATTTACCCTGGTCCATTAAGTTGTCCAGACTGGGATTAAACTCAGTGCTCCTGCCTCAGCCTCAAAGAGTGGTGAGGCTACATATATGCATCACTACACCCATCCAGTTACAAAGTTTTTAATACAAAGAATAAATATACAGAGATAGAGTTTAGATTGCCGTATTTCTGTAGCTTGAGAACTTAGGTGGAATGCAGGAGGTGAGACTGGATTCTTTTCCTGATTTCCCAGTACTGGCCTCAGTGAGGCATCTGCTTTCCAATCACAGTGAAGAAATTGAAGTTTTCATCAGTCTTAATTATTTGTGGATTTCTTATTTGTAAACATGCTGTTTGCTGAAAATCATGTCTCTGATACCAGTATTTCACAAGGCTTTCAGGGTCATTCATGTTCAAAAATTTGAGTCATATGAATCATGAATGTGGTAGAATTTGAAGGACATTTTTCAGACCATTATAGCTGAAAAATGTTCAGACAGTTGATTTAGGAACATTTCTGTTTCTTTGTGTTTTGCCAGTGGTTTTGCTAAAGTGAACTTCATCTGAACTTCCAGAGTACTTATTGTGCTTGAGCCAAAAAAGACTGAAGTAGGTAAGGAAAACGGATGTACGAGTTACCCACAAGTTACATGCTGTTGGGAGAGTTCATTGTTAGTGAATCGATAACACTGGTCTGTTGACAAAAATATGACATGTTCCAGACTGGGGTAATAGCTTGACAGTCTAAGCACCAGCATGACACGTGCAGGGACCCAGATTCTCTCTGGTACCACATGAAATGCAGGCCCAGGAATCCCAGGCACATTGTGCAAGCCCCAAAACCAGGTGTGGTGTCACTCACCTGTTATCCTGATGCTGGGGAGGCTGAGACAGGAGGCTTACTACAAGTCAACTGTGCAGCAAGACCCTATATCAAATATATAATTAATTGGGCCGGCCAAATAGTTCAGTGGATTAAAGCGCCTGCTTAGGCAGACGCGGAGGCCAGGTTCAATCCCTTTCATGCTGTGCTGGCCCCATCCCTGGGGTAGGCTGAGATAGTGATTGAGACTGGACATGGTGGTGCGTGCCTATAATTCCAGTTCATTGGGAGGCTGAACACAGGTTGATCACTACAAGTCCAATCTATGTAATGAGACCCTGTAGACCCTTACTAAAATACCAAAAAATACAAAAAAAAAAAAAAAAAAAAAAATCATAATTAATTAAAAATTTATTTCAAAAAACACATGTACTCCTGGAGCAATGACTCAGAGTTGATCTTTACAGGAGTGTGTACAGCGTAACTAGCAGAAGATGCTTAGTTGTCCAGGAATAGTTTTAGTTACACTTCCTGTTACTTCTATTTCTAAGAAAAAGCTGGTCACTGTCATGCATATTGCAAGAACCAGTCACAACTAAAAAGCCAGTCTGCCTTCTACTTCCTGCTTGCTTATCCAATATAAACCATCGACCACAAGAAATGAGGACCTGATATTCTGGAAAAGATCCTGAGCAGTTGATGTAGATAAATCAGCCTCCAAATCCTGGGCATCATTTCAGCATTTCTGCTTGCTATTGCGTTACTACAGTACATCCCCGATTTGCAGGCATTCAAGTTGCAAACTCATAGATATGCCATTCATAGATGTGAACAAGGGCCAGGGATAGAGCTCCAGCACAGTGCCTGCCTAGCAAGCCTGAGGTCTTGAGTTTGATTTCTGGTTCCAAAAAAAACAAAAATGGATTTTGTCCGTAGATGCGAACAGATTACAGAAGTAGCTTACTGTGTGCTACTGTGTGCCTATTGTACAGTGCTACAGTGTACAGTGCCCAGGAAGAAAAGCAGTGGCAATGTGGAGGGGACCAATAGGAAATGCAAAGCAGTAACCATGGAAACAAAAGTTAAAATAATTGAGTGACTGGACAGAGGCAAAAAGATGGCAGATGTTGCTCATTCTTACAACATGAATCATTTAACCATTGGCACAATTCTAAAGAATAAGAACAGGATCATGGAATGTGTAAAATCTGCTGTGCCAATGAGCTCAATAATATCCAAAAAACATTGCTATGACGATAGAGGACATAGACACTTCTGTGTGGATCCAGGATCAGCATTAGCATTAAGTCCCAATCAGCTTAATGCTTATTCAAGGAATAACTAAAAGCCTGTTCAAAGACTATAAGAAAAAAATGGGATGGACAGAGTACATCTTTTACTGCCCACTGTGGATGGTTTAACAGAATCTAGATCCAACCTTGATAGCATAAAAGTAGATGGTGAAGCTTCAAGCACAGACACTGTAGCTGTCCAAGAATTTCCAGCAGCACTTAGAGAAATTATGGGTGAAAGTGTTTATTTATTCCAGCAAGTTTTTAACATTGATGAGCTAGGACTGTACTGGAAGAGGATACCAGGACAGTTACATCAGTGAAGAGGGACAATGATGCCAAGCATCAAAGAAGCAAAAGGCACCCTTACTCTGGTGGCAGTGCTTCCAGTGATAACGAAAATAAAGCCCCTCTTGTTTTCCCATTCAGAACCCAAGCACTGTCAAGAACACGGACAAGGGCTCTCTCCCTGTTTTGCGGGGGAGTAACTCCAAAGCCTGCATTATCCCGGCCACTTTGCAGGACTGGTTTTTCCATCACTTTGTCCCAGAAATAGAGAAATCTTTGGTTGTTTGTGTCTTGAGACAGAGAACTGCTGTATAGCCCAGGATGCCCTTCAACTCATGGAACTTTTACCTCAGCCTCCCAAATGTTGGGATTATAGGCCTGCACCACCACACCTGCCTCAAGAAATCTTTTTTGAAGAAAGATTATCACATTCAACATTTTTTTGTTGTTTAATAGTGTACCACGTTACACAACTCATGGATGACTTTGGTTTTTGGATATAGGGCCTCACTATGCAGTTCAGGCTGTCCTTGAACTTACTGTATAGCACAGCCTTCCCTCAAACACAGTGATCTTCCTGCCCCAGCCTCCAAGTGCTGGGATCACAGGAGTGCACTACCACATCCAGCTTCATGGATAATTTTCATTCCAACCTCAAAGTACTTCATCTGTCACTGAATACTATGGCACTTGTCCAGCCTATGGACAAAGGTTCCATCGCAACTTTCAATAAGTCAACTTTCAATTAGTCAAGAATGAAGGCAACTGATGGAATAGAAACAACCTTGCAACAATTTTGGCAGGATCTACAAGGCCATATGAAACATCAGCTTGGCTTGGCATGAGGCTTCCACTTACAGCATTAATGGGGTTTGGAAGAACCTTTGCCCAGCTTGCTCATGATGTTCATGGACTTGAGATGGCTGAGGAGTCCAGAAAGGTCTCCCACAGCTTAGTGACCCCTAGTGAAAAGCCAGAGCCAGATCTGCAGGACAACTGCTCTGAGCTCCTCACTTCCAAGCATGAGGATCTGACTAATGAGGACCAGAGGGAATTAAGCCCCACAAGCAGGCAAAGAGAGCTGAGAGGGGTTGGCCAAATAGCTCAGTGGATTAAAGCACCTGCAAGCAGGCACGGGGCGTGCCGTGCTGGCCCCACCCCTGGAGCGAACTGAGATAGCAATTGAAACTGGGCGAGGTGATGCGCACCTGTAATCTGAGCACTTGGGAGGCTGTAAACAGGAGAATCACTACAAGTCCGATCTAGTAGTGAGACCCTGAACACACTAGACCCTTCCCTAAAAAATACAAAAGAGAAAAAAAAAGCTGAGAGGAAAACAGCTGAAGAACCAAAGAGATTCCCAACACCAGAAACAGCAAGGGAGTCTTTCTTACTTGAAGAGACAGTGTTAGTTTTTGAGGCACAGATCCCCCAGTGTAGCATGATACCCAGAGTTACAGCAGCTGTTCAGGATGCTAGAGGAGAAGAAAAGGAGCCACTACTTAGGAGGAGAAGAAAAAGGCCACTACTCAGACATCCTTGGATCATTTTTTCAAGAATGGAAACAGAGCACCTGCTTAGGCAGACGCAGGGACTGGGGTCCAATCCCCTGGCCTGCTGTACCAGCCCAACCCTGGGACACACTGAGACAGCAATTGAGACTGGGCATGGTAGTGTGTCCCTGTAATCCCAGAACTTCAGAGGATGTAAAGAGGAGGATCACTAAGAGTCCAATCTATGCAATGAGACCCTGTACAACTGGAGACAGAATTGAATCCATTGAAAAGCCAGTTTCATCAGCATCAGGTCTGGCAATTCCAACTTACTCTCCATCCCCTATCGCTGATGATGCTCAGTCCCAGATGGTCAATAGTCACCCACCTGCCTGCTCCTCCTGTCAGAAACTCCATATCAGCCCTGCCACATGTCCCCTGACATACCTGCTGTTGTACTGCACCTCTATCTCTTTTTTGATACTGGGAATAGAATTCAGGACATTGCACTTGCCAGGAAGGCATTTGTGCCCCTGAGCTATGTCCTTGGCACCACACCACAACCTTAAGGTAACTATAAAAGTAAAAATAGTTTACTTACAGCATTTGTTGTGTGTTGGTTTTTATATGCCTAACATTGTATATTTGTGTCAAAAGTGTATAACACTCACTTTGTTAGACTTACAAATGAATCTCACATATCTTCTCCCAGAACAGAACTCCTTCATAAGTCAGGAACTCACTATACCATGAATAAAGAGGATTGATCATACAGGTACTTGATTTACAATAAGGCTGCATCCCAATAATGGCATTGTAAGTTGAAAATAGCATAAATTAAAAATGACTTTAACAGCTGAGCATGGTGGTGCTCACCTGGAATCCCAGTACTCTGGGGGCAAAGGCAGGAAGATTGCAAATTCATACCCAGCCTGGCGGTTTGGTGACTTAGTGAGACCCTACACCAAACTGTAAATAAAGAGCTCGGGAAGTAGCTTAGAGCAGAGGCCCTGAGTTCAATCCCTACTACAGCAGAAAAACAACAGAACATTGGGTAGCCTCCAGCACCGCCAGGGCCAGACTGTGGGGCAGCAAGCCAGACTGTACCTGTGTGTGTCAGAACTAGTTGCTGAGAAGGAGAAAACCCCACTGTGGCCAGAGATGAGAGAGGAAAAATACTTGTAGTTTTTCCATTTTCAGGTGTTCTCTTTTCAATTAAGTGAACCTACTGCGATGTACATACATACTTAATATTTTACCTTGTTTGCCACTATTCCCTTTGATTTCAAAATGTGTATTTCTATTTTTTCCCCCCAAATCAGCCTGGGCAAGAGGTACCTGCCTGTAATCCCAAAACTCTGGAGGCTGAGGCAGGAGTACTACCACCAGTTCAAGTCCCTCCTGGGATACATAATGAGTTCAAGGCCAGCCTCAACTATATAACAAGGCCCTGTGTCTATATAAATAACCAATTTTTGAAAAATCTAAATGTGTAGGCTTTCTGGTATAAGTGCCTCCCTGGGAAGCACAAGGTCTTGAATTCAATCCCAGAAAAATTTAAATATATAGGGCCAGGGAGATAGCTCAGCAGTCTATGTGCCTGCCTAGTAAGCACAAGGACCCAGGTTTGATCTCTGGTACTGCATGCCGTGCTGGGAGTTGGAGCTGTGTATTGAGGTCCTCTACCAAATAAATAAATGAATAAAAGATTTTTAAATTTCAAATCTATATTTTACATAACTTGTTATTGCTTATTTATGTATGTATTTATTTAGTTTGAGGCAAGATCTCACTATGTAGGTCAGCCTGGCCTTGAACTTGCTCATGGAACCCAGGCTGGCCTCAAACTCACAGGAATCCTGCTGGAATCACAGGTGTGTGCCACCACACACAGCTGATGTCATTTTAAAACCTTCAGTTATATTTCCAGTATTGGATGTTGACTTCCAGGCCTCACCCTGAGCTCATAATTTTTTATTTTGAAATAGGATCTCACTAAGTTGCAAGTTCTCCAGCCTGGGTTTGACCTTCCGATCCTCCTACCTCAGCCTCCCAGTTTACTGGGATTACAGGCTGCATCACCACACCTAGCTGAAATTGCTTTTCAAACATATGCAGTAAATTTGAGAGTACAAGACCCTTCTAGATCCCAAAGTAATGGGAGAAGGTAGAAGGGGAAGGGATGTGGCTGGAATTTTGAGATATTCCCATGTGTAATGAAAACTGGTTATCACAAATCTTGGTGAACCAATCACTTTGCTTCAGGGCGTATATATTCCCATCATATCCTCCACGTAGATTTTATCAAGCAGCAATGCTGAGCAAGCACAGAGCCCCCCGGGCCTGCAAAGCTCTGGAAAGCAGTGTCGTCTTCCAGGTGTGGACAGAGCTTGTGTTGTCCCTCACCCAACCCTTAACGGGTTTATTTTCCCTGTGGGCCTAGTTTTGTCTCTGGTTTGGATCCCTGCTTTTATGATTGCTTGTCATTACAGGAATCAAGAGAGACTTAGAGTCAGCAATGAGCAGTGTGTCTTAGGATGCCTGTAGAGCAGTACTGGAAGTGCCTGGGAGGCAGAGCTGGCATCCGGAATTGACTACATCACTGGGCCATCCAGACAACCCTGCAGTCAGTATGTTAGGGACTGGGGAGACAAGGGTCACAAAAACGAAGGAAGCCCGGTTCAGGTGCACACCTGCAACCCCAGCACTGGAGGCCAAGGCAGTAGGACTGTAGTTTCCAACCCAGCCTGGATAACTGAATGACTTAGATTGAGAGATCCTATCTCAAAATTTAAATGAATGAGTGAATGAAATAAAGCTAAGCGCTGGAATGTAGCTCTGTAGGGAGGCCCTAGGCTCAATCCCTGAGTACTAGGGGGAACAAAATAAGAGCTCAACAGCTAGAGAGCACAAACCCAGCATCCCAGGTGAGAAGCAATGGTTCTTGAAGACATCAAAGAAAAATTACAGTTTGTGTGAAAAAAAAAAAAAAAGAATTCAGATGCAGAGCTCAGTAACTTCTTTATTTTCCCCCCTATATTTAGGACAGGGTCTACATAGAACAGACTCCTAGTGATTCTCCTGTTTTCAGCCTCCCAAGTGCTGGGATTACAGGCGCACGCCACCATGCCCAGTCTCCATTGCCGTCTCAGCACGCCCCGAGTGTGGGGCCGGCAAGGCAAGGCACTGCACACCAGGAATCGAATCCCGGCCGCTGAACTCTGCCTAAGCAGGCTCTTTACTCTGCTGAACTATCAGGCTGACCCTTAACTCCTGTATTTTGTGACAATTCTCAAGTTATACTTAGGTCTTCATCTTTCCTCCTGTGAGGATTACAGCAATCACAATTTTCCTTTTTTGTGTTCTTCTTCCTTTTTTTCCTTCCTTTCTTTTTGAATGTTTCTTTGAAATTGCCCCAATATCAAGTGAAATCCTAAAAATAGTGGAAATGTAAATACAAAAAAAAATTACAGAATGTAGTTTACTTTTCCTCCTGTAGTTTACTTTGGAATCTTGGACATGAAATTTGAAACCAAGAATTTATATTTATATTAAATATTTAAAGTTTTATTTAAATATGTAAATCAATGAGGTAGCATTATAATTATAACACATTGTTATATCATTATTATAATTATAACATTGTTATGTGTATAAGCTGGTTTTAGAGGGACTTACATGATTTGAAAGTTATATGAATCTATAGAATATTTTCCATTTGAACCTTACTTTAACATTGTAATAATTGATTACTTTCCTGTTGTTATCTATTGTATTTTCTTTTTCTGTATTTCACAATCATTTCACCTTATGTTGGAATTTTTTGTAGTATTAAAATCATAGATAATTTTATTTATGAAAAAGTTCCTTTAGGAAGGTTAGTACAATGGCCTACAACCTATAATTGTAGGATTTGGGGCAGCTGAGGCAAGAGAATTGACAGTTTGAACCCAGCCTGGACAACTTAGCAACTTAGCAAGAACTTGTTTCAAAATAATAAAAAGACTGGGAACGTAACTTAGTGCAAAGCCCTTGGGTTCAATCCCATTCTCAAAAAAAAATTGCTAGAATTTTGCCCTGAATTTATATGGAGTATTTGTGATCATGTAGGATACAAAGGTAGCATGTATTGGGTCTTCCGCTTGACTGGCAATGTCAGAAATTGTTGACCTGAGTCCCCTACAACTCAACATAACAGCATGGCTTAACTTCTTATACTTGGTTTTTATACTTTTCTGCTGGATGGCTAAGACCAAGATAAAGCAAGACCTATGCAACAAGAGTTGTAGCTTTTGGGTTTGATAAGGTCAGTCAAATCCCCTCAGGATTTATCCTGAGATCCTGTACTTCAGATTGTAGATCCTTGATAACTATTGAGAAAATGAGAAACTGAGATTGGGGCCCTCTGATGCTGGCAGGGGACCCTGCGATCTGTAACCATCGGGATAACAAAACAAGATAAACTTGGAGTCAAGTGGACAGGAAACCTTAAGTGTCAAGAAACTTAAAAGTTCATAGTTTCAAAAAAGCCAGGCAAGTTTTAAAATTCTGAAAGATCTGATTTGGCAAATTTAAAAAATAATTGCTCAATATATGAGTTTATTAGTTTAATTTACAAAGGTTTCTTTTTGTACATGTAGTCCACCTTAGGAAATGTGGCTTATCTTCATGTCAGTCTGTTGGCTTTATAGAAGGCCAAGAAATATGTGATTGGGTAGTGAGATTTCCTTTTAGAATCTGAATTTGAAGACAAAATATTCTGTTTTATTTGACCTTTAAAATGTGATACACATTTTTCTCTATTTTTTTACATGTTTATAATGAGACGAAAAATAACTTATACTATAAATACAATTGGCATCAAGTTCTTTATGTTCACCTCTGCTTTTAAAATACTAAAACCTTGTTTGTAGATACTAAACTCTCATGTAGATGTAGTTTACTAATAAAAATTATCGCAAGAAAATAGTTCATTGGAGGATATAAGCTGTAAAAATACTAACTGGAAAAAGAACAATTTTTTATATACACATTTATTTTATGTTATTTTTTTATTTTTTCCATAATTTTGAGGAACAAATAGCAATGAGACAGTTTCAAACCAAATTGGTAGGACAGTTTCAATAGTTAACACATTGCATACTCTCTTCCTAGTGGTTATTTGCTGTACAAGATGCAGAAATGAATCCTATTTAAAAAAACTATTACAACAAATCCCTCTATTCATTAAGAGAATGTAACTATATATCTATCCTAACCATTTTGAATACACAGATACAAAATGGACATTCATCTGTATCTTCTTTTTTTGTTTAGTTCTGTCATTTGAATATTATAGGTGTGTTAACTCAGCAAAATATTCTAAAAGAGTCCAGTAGTCCATAATAGTATTGGGTCTTCCTCTTGACTGGCAGTGTCAGAAATTGTTGACCTGAGTCCCCTACAGCTCAACATAACAGCATGGCTTTACTTCTTATACTTTGTTTTTATACTTTTCTGCTGGATGGTTAAGACCAAGATAAAGCAAGACCTATGCAACAAGAGTTGTAGCTTTTGGATCTGATAAGGTCAGTGAAATCCCCTCAGGATTTATCCTGAGATCCTGTACCTCAGATTGTAGAGCCTTTGTCAGTGTCAGCCATGTGGATGAGTCTTGGCCATTGCTTGGCCAATGTGCTCTCTGTGAAAGCCTGAGAGAGTGTTTTCTCTCCATGTGACTCTCCTGAGGCACACTCTACATCATCGATCACTTTCCTCTTTGACCCCATAATCTCCTTGATCAGAAAATTTGGGACACAATTGAGTTCCATGATGTTACAGTACAAGTTCTCATATGTCCTGAGTCTTAATTGACCTTGGAAGGCTAGGGCCAAAATATTGGATTTCCTTGCAGTCCTCCTTTTCATCTAATTTTGGGCTGCATTTTTAATCTTTTGTCCATTAGAAGTCAGTAGACCTCTTTCTTGATAAATCATCCCATGTACATGAACATTGGCAAATGCATATCTACTGTCCGTATAGATATTAATCTTTATGTTTTGACCCAGACGCAATGCCTGGGTTAGGGCTATCAATTCAGCCTTTTGTGCAGAAGTACCAGAGTCCAATTGTTGGGACTATAACTCTTGATCTTGAGTGACCACAGCCACCCCTGCCACCTGCTTTCCTTCATGAATGTAACTACTTCCATCTGTGAAGAGGGCCAGTTCAGCATCAGGCAAGGGGATGTCAGTCAGGTCTTCTCGAAGCCCCATGATTTTTTCGATGGTGGAGAGGCAGTTGTGGAGTGGCAGGGTGGGGTCATTATCCAGCAGAAGAGTTGTTGGATTTAGAGTGGTAGCTTCTTTAAATTGGACTGAGGTAGGGTCCAACAGAAGCGCTTGGTAGTGGATGATATGGGCATTGGTCATCCACTTATCAGGAGGTGTTTTTATTAAGGTCTCTAATGCATGAGGTGAGACCACCCTAATGAGCTGTCCCAAAGTTAACTTTTTTCCATCTTGTACTAGTAGGGCCACAGCAGCAATCATTCGAAGGCATGCAGGCCATCCAGAAGCCACGGGGTCCAGTCTCTTGGACAAATAGGCGATGGGCCGATCCCAAGGGCCTAATTTCTGGGTGAGGACCCCTTTTGTAATGCCCCTCTTTTTATCTACAAACAGGGTAAATGGCTTTTGTAGGGCTGGCAATGCTAAGGCAGGCGCCTCAATCAGAGCATTTTTAAGGTTAGTAAAGGCAGTGTCTTGTTTTGGTTCCCACTCAAGGGGGTCTTGAGTAGTTCCAGTCAAAGTCTCATATAAGGGTTGTGCCACATCTGTAAAATGGATGATCCAAAGGCGGCAATATCCCACAGCCCCTAAAAATTTTCGCACCTGCTGCTTGTTGGCAGGGGTGGGAATCTGCAGAATAGCACAAACCCGAGATGGTGAGAGGGTGCGTTTTCCCTCGTGAATCTGATAATCTAAGTAAGTAACCTGTTTACGGCACAGTTGGGCCTTTTTGGCTGAAACCTGGTATCCAAGATCTGAGAGAGCTTTTAGTAAGGCTTGAGTGCCCGAGACACAGGACTCATATTTCTCCGTAGCCAATAGAAGGTCATCAATGTATTGGAGCAACGTCAGTCCTGGATGATCCTTCCAAAAGGGGAGGAGGTCTCAGGACAAAGCCTCACCAAAGAGTGTGGCGGCGTTTTTGAAATCCTGAGGAAGTCGAGTCTAAGTCGAGTCTCTAAGTTCTGAGACTCCCGAAAAGGGGTCTGTCCATTCAAAGGCAAATAAGGGTTGACTCACCAGGGCGATCGGTAAGGTGAAGAAGGCATCTTTTAAGTCCAATACCATGTACCAGATGTGATGAGGTGGCAGAAGGCTCAGGAGGGTGTAGGGATTGGGCACCGTTGGATGTAAGGTGACCACCCTTTTGTTTACCTCTTGTAAGTCCTGGACCGGTTGGTAATCCTGGGTCCCTGGTTTTTGTACTGGAAGCAAGGGGGTATTCCAAGGAGAAATACATGATTTTAAAATGCCCTGTTGTTTGAATCACAAGATGTGGGTAGCAATTCCCTTGCGCGCTGCCAGGCTAATTGGGTATTATTTTAACTTCATCGGAGTGGCATCTGGAATTAACTCTATCACCAAGGGAGCTTGATTTTTGGCCAACCCAGGGGGGTTATGTTCTGCCCATACTTCTGGGATTTGTTGAGTCCAAATGTATAGCAATTCATCTCTTTCTGTCTAATCAAATCTCTGTTCCTCAGGTCCTAAAACTTCTTGAAATAAGATGTGGCTTTCTCCTACCAGGAACTGGGCCATCACCTTAATGACTGGATTCTCGATAGTTACAGTAGGCATTTTGGTCTCAAAACTCAATTATGCTCTTAATTTATGTAGAAGATCTCTACCCAGGAGTGGGTCTGGACAGTCGGGCGCCCAAAGAAAGGTGTGACTCATTAGGGGCTGTCCAGGTTGCCCCATTGACACCCTAAGCTGTTTTATTATTTTAGTTTGTCCAGTGGCCCCTAGGACCTTTATTGAAGTTCCTGTGGGAGTTTCAATTGGCTGAGTCAAAACGGAGTGAGTTGCTCCGGAGTCTACCAGGAAGTCTATGGGTTGCCCCCCAATGGTTAAAGTTAGCCTGGGCTCAGGGGGGGCTCGTGAGCCCTGACTTCCCTAATGTTGATTAAGGAGGGCTTTTGCATCTTTTTCCAGTTTAGTCTTTAATTTAGGACAGTCCTTGACCCAGTGTCCATTTTCCTTACAATAAGCACATTGATCTTTTTTAAGAGGAAATTGTTTTTTCCTTTTATTGGTTGGCCCATTCCCGGTGGCCAGACATTCAAGAATCTTAGTAAGTCTCTTTTCGTTTTTATCTTCCTTGGATTCACACTGATCAAAAACCTTTTGAGCTATCTCCGAGAGCTGACTAAGGGGTGCTCCCTCAAAACCCTCTATTTTTTGCAATTTTCGTTTTATGTCAGGGGTTGACTGTGCCACGAACGCAATATTTATGGCTTGTGCATTTTCGAGTGCCTCCGGATCTATTGGAGTATAGATACGGTAGGCTTTTAGGAGTCTTTCCAAATCAGCATCAGGGGACTCAGTAGCCAGTTGTCTTACCTGTGATACCTTGGATAGGTTGGTGGGCTTCCGGGCTGTTGCCTTAAGGGCTCCCAGAAGAAGCTGGCGATACTTGTTGAGAGCCTCCTTACCTCTATTAGTATTTGGATCCCAGTCTGGGCACCGCAAGGGGAAGATGGCTTCTTGGCGATCAGGATCAGGGGTGGGATTTCCATCTGGGCCCATGACAGCCCGATGGGCTGCTCTGCGGATGCGGTCTCTTTTTTCTGCAGTAAAAAGGGTCTGAAGGAGTTGTTGACAATCATCCTAGGTGGGGCGATGGGTATAACAGATATGTTCCAGAAGGCTAATGAGGCCTTGTGGGTCTTTGGAAAAGGGTGGGTTCTGATTTTTTCAGTTATATAAATCAGAAGTGGTAAAGGGGACATATATCATCGTGGGGGCTTGATCTGGCCCCAAAAAGGTTTCATGGAGAGGGTATAAGGGAAGTGGGTGAGGAGAGGGAGTGGATGAATCCGGCGATGGGTGTCAGCGGCTCCGGGTACGGCATGGACTAGGAGGTGCCGAGATAGCTTGGGGCTGGGAGGGAGGTGGAGGAGAAGGAGCCTGATGTGGGAGAGGAGGTGAAGGGGGTTGGGGCGGGGCCTGAGGAGGAAGGGGGTTCCTATAGGGAGGAGGAAGGTCGTCCTGAGGCGGGGATTCTACGACTTGGGGCTTTGGGGGGAATGAGAAGGTCTTAAGGGAGCAAGGACAGAGGGCTTCTGAAGCGACTTCCTGAGCCATGATGGGGGATCATAAATCAAATCAATCCAGACCTGAATGTAGATGACCTGGTCCCGGTGCCCGGGCTTGCGTAAAATGACCTGTTGAACAGCCTGGGCCAAAGGGAAGTCAAAAGATCCCTTGGGGGGCCAGAAGCCCCCTGATGAGATCGGCCATTCTAATTCACAAAGAGTATGGGGTTTTCCTGGGTAAACTGAGGCTCCATATCTCTTTGCTCAATCTTGGAAGGTGGAAAAATGATTCAGGATAAGAGACAAGGGGGAGGATGACAAAGCAGATTGTCCCATCTTCACAGGTCCAAACACGTAACAAGATCCAACAAAGACTGCGAACGAAAAGGACAGCGGATGGGGAAACTCACTTACGATGTGGCAGCGGCTGAGAGTCTGAAAATCTGTCAATCCAAAAGGTTGCATTAAGAGACCAGACAAAACATAGGCATACACACTGTTTATCCAAATTTTATAGGAAATATCTTAAAAGCCCGAATAAGATTACTTAAGTATTTTATAATAAAAGCCTTAAGTTTTAATTTATTTCTTATCCTATTAAATGAAACTTAGGTGATAAAGGTCGAATTTTTTTATACTTAAATGTTTTGGTCCCATAAGTGTGCTGCTTTTGGAGAAAGCTCCTTCTGGTGTCACCCAGAAGTCGGTTCTCTTCACTGTGTCTCAGGTTTAGCCTCCCAAAGGAGACTTGCCCAGAACACTAAGCCAGGACATGGCTTTTATGTGTGTTCTCCTGGACGAGCATAATCTCTTTGTCTCATCTGACCCAGAGACGGGGTATGTGTCCTTTCTAGAATGGCTTTTCTGTCTTCGGCATTGACAAATGCTCATTTTCTAAGGGCTTTACTTAGCTGGAACAGAGTTTTTAACTTTTACATGCCTTTAAAAGGGAAAGTGCAAAGAGATAAGAAAATCAGGAACAAAGTCAAAGCAAGGAAACTGAAACAGATCAGGCCCGACATTCCCTCTAGCATATAGAGGGGGATCAGAACCAGTCCATCCCAGTGAAACCTGTCCTCCAAGTCTTTAAGAACAGTTGCCGGCCTAATGTCATTTAACTGGTAAAAGGAGTCCCATTTTTATATAGGCATGTAGGTTTTTAAAGTTTAAGCTGGCTAAAGTTTTATTTTACAGAAGTTTACATAAAATCCAATAAGAATCTCAGTAATTTTACCCTCTAGTGCTTTTGTCTAAAATTTAATAATCAGTTCAAATATAGCATATACAAATATAAAACAGTCATAAAATGTCCCATTAAAGAAATATCATGACCTTATAACAATGTTATGTCTTAGCTTAAATTTATCAACATTTTGACCAATATTTTAATAACGAATTTATCTGGCTGACAGGTTCTAAGAAAAACAGATAAACATAAATAGACCAATCAAAATCAAAGAAAGAAAAACAAACTAGTTAGACAGACAACAGACAGACAGCACAACTAGACTTAACCAGATGGTTCCAACTGGGTCTAAATCCTGTATGAAAGTGTGTGCCCCTAATTAGATTAAATCTATTGGAGGACTTGGTAAAGGTGAAAATAATTCACTTCATACAAGAGGCAGACTAGTCTAATGGGCCTAAATAAAACTTGTATGAAAGGAATGTGTATGCCCCCTATGCAGGAGGACTTGGTAAAGGTAGGGGTATCAAGGAAACCTTTATACAAGAGAAACTAGCCTGCATTAGAGAGAGAGGGTTGAGCAGATGTTGCTAGCCCCCTACAGTTAGAACCTGTAGGAGTAGGGAAGGCATAAATCTCAAAGAGAGATAAAGGAAGAGGTCGCATACATGTGGCTAGCCCCCTACGGTTGGAATCTGTAGGGGTAGGGGGTAGGGGCAAAAGAATCTCACCTAAAGAGACCCCGGAGGTCACGGAAACCTCTACATATGACCGAAGTCCATAATCTCGAAAGGCAACTAATTGACAAAAGGGACACCTAGGTCCGTTTGCCTCACTGAAAACAGAGCTCTGCGGTGAAAGGGACACCTAGGTCCGTTCACCTCCAATTGAGATCTCCCAAAATCTGACTTGGAGGGCGTCCCACTCCAAGGACTTGGAGATCGGAGTCTGCGAGTCAACACCATAACCAAAACCAATTTGAGTACTCACCATGAAACCATTAAGAAACCACCAAGAAACCATTAAGAAACCAAGAAAACAGAACGAAAGCAAAGAGGCAAAGTGAAAGGAGAGGTTGACGTGGCTACTGTAGTTCTTTAAAATCAGTAAAGCCAAATCAAAACCAATAATTCATATTTGAGTTTAAGCCGGCATAACAAAATTTAGGTCAGAATTTACTTACCGAGTCAAAAAGAAAAGGCCTTTAGGGATCCCGGACGAGCCCCCAAACGTTGTAGCTCAAAAATCAGATGATAACGAGGCAAGTCTAAAAGTTAAAAGAAGCGTTTTATTTTAGCTGGTACCCAGTGGCGGTCTCTATGCAAGGTGCAAAGAGGCATGCCGGGCATTGACAAGGGGTGAGTATTTAAGCTTGAAAACCGCAAAAACAGGGAAGAGGTGGAGAAGAAGAAGTGGCAGGGTCATTAGTTTATTGGGTGGGGTGCTAGAATCAGCAATCATAGGGTACAGCGAGTCATTAGTTTATGGGGTGGTTCTGTTGGGTGGAGGTGCTGAATTGGCAGTCACGAATACATCAAGTGGGCCCATTGGGCGGGGGTGCTGAAATCATGCAGAGTTCTGCTGGACAAGATAAGGTTTGGGGAACAGATATCATAAGACTTGAGTCACAGGGGTGAGGAATTGGAGGAATTGGGAAATTGGAGGAGGAATTGGGAGGGGTCGGCACATACAGAACAGGAACTTGGCGAGGTTAGAAGGGCAACAAAATGGAGTCAATTTTAACAGGGTACAGCAACTGTGAGGACTTTGAGTTCAGTCTCCCACCTCAAAACAAACAAAAAAATCCCCCAGAAAACACTATTTTTCTTCTGCTCCTGCTTCTGTTTCTTTATCCACATTTAATAAAACTTTGCTACTGTTAAAAATACATATTTTCCAGGCTAGTGAGATAGCTCTGTGGACTAAAGCGCTTGCTTAGGCAAGCTAAGCGCAGGGACCGTGATCCACTCCTCACTACCACATGCCACACCAGCTCTGCGGGCTGAGTTAGCCAGAGTGTAGTAATCCCAGGCTGTAATCCCAGTGCTGGGGAGGCTGAAAGCAGGAGGATCATTGTGAGTATGAGCTGTGTAGTGAGACTCTGCAATAAACAAAAGAACTGTATCTTTTCCTAGAGCATAAGAAGTTGTTTTGTTGTTGTTGTTTCTGTGATACTGGGGATTGAACTCAGGAGGGACCTTGCGCTTGCCAGCAGGTGTTTAAGCCACTGAGCAATAAAATGTTCTTAACGTGAAGTATTTTCTAAACAATAAGTTTCAATGTTGTATAATCTGTCTGCATTTCTTCTACAGGAAGAATGGGGAAAAAAGAATGAAGGAAGGAAAAACAATCAGCTGCTAGAATAACAAAAGACAAAACAAACTGAAATGCACAAATCAAACTGGCCCTCAGGGGAGGGCTCCAGAGCCACCAGCGAATGTCATGGGGTGACTCAAAGACTTGCCTCAGATCATCCATGGAGCACAATCTGAAATCAAAAATAAGCCAGCATGGGATATTGCCTACAAGCCCAGGGACACCAAGGCAGCAGGGCTGTAGATTTGAGGCATACTTAGCTAGACAAGGGTCTAAAACATGAAAAAGGGCTGATAATCAACCCCAGCACTTGGTTGACTGACCTCATCAGATTCAACCCCAGCACTTGGGAGGTTGAGACAGGATTACTGTGAGTTCAAGGTCAGCCTGAACTGCACAGAGA